GGAAAACTTTTCGTGCTGCTTTTATTTTTTGCAAAACACCATTTTTTATATGTATCAATTTTTCATATGATATGACTCTTCAATAAAGCGTATAACTTTGTTGCTTGAATTGTTGTATGTTCCAGAACGACGATGAATGCGAAAACGACGTCGATGACGACGACTTTGACAATACAAAGCAAGAGTCATTCGATTTTGTTATGAATGTAACCGAATTTTCATCTGTTCTGCTTGATACTTTTACATTGGTCCCGAAAATACAAACACACACACACACACACACGCATCTTGGCTTCGGTTGTTTTTTTCTCTACTCTCCCTTGGATACAAACATCATCATCGTCGTAATCATGAATCAAAATCATCGGAAAATTTACATATAGGGTGTTTCTAAATCGATCTGTGTGCGTGCGATAAAGACTCAAGCGTCAGTTAGAAATAAGGAGGCAAAGAAAGGAAAGGAAAAGAACGGAGAAAAAATCGGCCAAAGTAGTCGAAGGCATTTATTTAGAATTTGAAATTGGGAATGGAATGTAGGAGAGCATGAGAATAGTAGCACCAGCCAAACATCACGCACCAACCGTACCATCGTTATGTAAATTGAAATAAACACACAAGCCGAAAGCCATTCATGTTCGAAGTTAGTAGGTAAGAAAATGTATGAGCATATCGTTACACCACGCACATTATATATAATGATGAGAGTGCCGCTGCTGCTAGTGCTGTGTGCTTATGTTTTTGTTGTTGTTGTTGCTATTCTAGCTGCTTCTGCTGCTGCTGATGATGATTATATCATGTATTGATGAAATTGGGAGCGCGAGAGCGATAGAACGAACTCTATTGTACAGTACATGCACCGAAAAGTCGTCGCAAACTGATGCAAGATTTGAAGAAGAAAAAAACATACACCGAATACTCCGCATCTAAGTTATTTGTGAGATGTTTTGACTTTGGGCGAGTGTAGGTGTGTGTGTGTGTGTGTGTATGTTTGAGTGCGTGCATGTGTATGGGTGGTATTATGTTTGTGTATGTCGTTGTGATGACAGAACATTTATTGTAATGAGCTAGGTGGTACACTAGATCAATGGCAGAGGTGTTAAGCTTTCAGTATAGCTGAGCTGTAGGCACATTGAAAATGGTGTGATCAAATGCAAAGCAATCATTAAATAGTGCTTAAACACATCAGCCTCCCTTTTTTTCCCCGTGTACTACTACAGCTTCTTCTTCTGGTATGTATTGCCTTGTCGAACGAAACGCATGAGTGCCTTTCCGTTGCCTGGCCATATAATTTATTACGATTCCTTCGAAGGTGTACATTTATCCACATTTCTATTGCTTGAGCGGAAAAGAAGACGGAAAAAAACTAAGCAATGGCTGGAACGAGAGATAGAGCGAAAAATAGATTTGAATCAAGGGGCTGCTGTCATCCCCTAATCAATCGCCGATTTCACCTAAAACAAATCAAACTTTTTTCTTTTGTTTTTTGTTTTATTTCGGATAACCAATATTTATGATACTTTTGTCCCATTTCGAGCCATCTGGATTGCTTATGCAAGTCAAATGGCTCTCTCAATGTGTAAAATGCACGCGGAAAGCCTTATCCTCATCTTTGTATTTATAAAAGAAATGTGCTTCATACGCTCCCCAAACGACCATATGGTGGCTTCATATAATTTATTTCACGTCGATGATGACAACGATGCCATGCTGATGGCAATTGTTCATATATTGACAAATCATTGACATGAGACCATTTCACAACATATCAAACCATCATAATACGAGCGGTAAATTGTGACGAATGTTCAAAATATCATATAACATTTATTTTATTCGGGCACCGAAATTCACCATCATTTTGGCGCAGCATTTTCAATGTTTTTATTACCATGCGGTAAGAACCATCGTACACCCACACAAATATGACGCCAATTATATTTGATTACTTTTATTGACGGTAATTTCGGGCATCATCCATTTATCAATTGGCCAAATGATATTTATGTACGATAATAATTATTATAGTATTTGTTAAAAAGCTTTTGGCATTTGTGACTTTTATTCACATTTCGGTTTGAATTGGTATATTTTGGTAGTATAACTGGTCGAATGACTGTGTGAACGAATTCGCATATATCTGTTCAACGCTTGAAGGCCCTTAGCCCTAGATAATGTCAATTTTGCGAGACAAATTTAATAAAAAAAAGAAAGTCAAGTAGCACGAAAAAACCTTAACGCACCGTTCGCATGTATTCGAGTCAACTTAGAGCAAGAGCGCACGGCATAAAAGAACGGAAAAGTGGAAGAAAGCGAGAGAGAGAGAGAGAGAGAGAGAGAGCAAAGAAGAAGCGAAAGCCAGAGGTAAAGAGAGAAAACGATTGAGCTCGGCGAGCAAGCGAATGAGTCGTTCATTGCAAGTGAATGAGTTTTTTTTTGCGACAAAGAGAGAGAAAGAGAGCGATATGACTTGAGACATTCCTTGTGCAAAATGTGCGTATGGCCATTCAGCGAAAACGAATGTTTGGAGTGCTATGGAGTTTGTTACCTTGATCTAAATAAATTTCTCTATTATGCGTATGGGTGTCATGAGCGGATGGCTGTGTGCGTATATGTTTGTGTACGGAATTTATGCATCAGGCACCGTATTCCAAGTCACCGAAAAGGATAATCCGTCCAGAGTAGGCACGCACACCTTGATAAATATTGTACTTGGGTGAATAAAAAAAAACTGCCTTATCATCGATTGCTCGTGTAGCTAGAGAGAGAATAAAACAACAGCGACAACAACAACGCATGGCATCTAAAATTGTATCGAAGCAAAGAGAAAAAAACGGACGGGAGAGCGGGAAATTGAGAGAGAAAAATTGAGCTGAAGGAGTAACATCGTCAGCACGGAACACACCAACAACAACAGCAGAAGCAGCAGCAGCAACAGTAACGGCGTCGACATGATAACAGAGCACATTGTGTGTTGTGTTTTTGCACAGTTACAAAAAAATGCCTTACGATAGTCACACACAAACACCATTGTCAGCTCACTCGTATATACTTGGTGCACAAGCACATACACTAGGAAAAGCTAGCAACAGAGCGTGCGAGGCACACGGTGTGGTGTATGCGAAGCAGACTAGAACGATGAAAGCAACAAAATACACGGAGCACGGTTGGCGTGTGAAAGAGAGAAAGGCGAATGTTATGTGTAGGTGAAACATCCATGTTTTTTTTCTTTCATTTTCTATGTACACCAACAAGTTGAATCCTCGCTACATGCAATGTAGTGGTGTGCGTAAGCATCGTTGGTTGTACATATGTATAAATTTTGCAATCCGGAGCATCCATCTCGTTGTCGTGGATTCGGGTACACTATTTCATCTCTCATATCTACGACTAGCTCACTGTTCGCTCTCTTGGTCTCTCTGTGATCAATTTTACATAGATATTAGAGCTTACGGTTTTATTTGTTGAATGCCAACGATAAAGAGAGAGAGAGAGAGAGAGAGAAAAAAGTCGTCGTTTTATTAGTATATTTTCGAAGCTATCGAAGTTTTGACGCCGCCGAGTTTGCCAATGTATGCGTAGCATTACGATGGATATTTCGATGAGCGAGCGAACGAACGAACAAGTCTGCGAGCATGAAATGCCTTATCAAAATGCCAGAGTTTTTCCTGTGCTTCGCGTACATATGCAAGAAGTTTTATGTGCACTTAACGTATGATTCCTTCCCAACAGTAGCAAAGTTGAAGGAAACATTTTCTATCGTCTTTTGATATCAGTTGATAAGAACAAAAATGAGAGAGGGAGAGAGAGAGAGAGAGAGAGAGAGAGAAAAAAGCAAAAACAGCAACATCAAGTAACAACACAGCACATGACATGAAAAACATTTGCATGCTAATGATTCAACCACTAAATAAAATTGCAAGTAACGAACGAATGAAAAAGTTCACGGAAAGTACTGTACGCGGGTAATTGCGAAAAAGAGAGTGAGAGAGCGCGATAGAGAGAACGAGAGAGAGAGAGAGAATATAAAAATTCATTTGAATGTTTCAAATCTCATCTCAATTACATTAAAAAAGAAATTCGTGCAAGCTACACACAATCGAGGCGCGCACGCTACGTGTATGGATGGCAAACGTGCGCGACAATAAACGAGAATGTTTTCTCATGGATGGACCAATAACAACAACAACGAAAACAACGACGACGGCAATAAAAGCACACACAACGCATCTCATTGCTATCATAACACATATAAACATTTCATTTCGCCTTCGATGCCCCGCATATAAATACGTACGCAACAACAGCGCAGCTAGTAAATAATGTAAATAGATAAGAACACGAGCATTTTAAAAAAAAGCACACCACCAACAAGAAGTTGAAGAAGAAGAGCAGCAACAACAAGCACACTATCGAAAATTGAATGAGTTGGATGGAAGCAGCACCAACAGCAGCAGCAGCAGCAGCAGCAGCAGCAGCAGCAGCATCGGTGCTGAGAGAATAAAAAAAAGCAGCGGAAAAACGTACTAGATTTTCTTGAGGGAGAGAGTTGTTGGTGGCCAAAGTGCGTAGGTATTTGTGCGTTGTTCCTTGATGGATGTGGCTGTATAATGACAACACTCTATATAGCTTCGCATTCAGTGTGTGTTGGATAACCATTTTCTATACATATACATCGATGTACATAAATATGAACGAGAGTAAGAGCGAGAGTAAGCTAGCTAGCTCGTTGAGCGAGGGTGCAAAAGCAGCCAAATCAAACGCATGTGCATGTATTTCAGATGGATGCTGAAACATATACACACAGCACATGAAACGATATCTCATATCAAACACACGGAGTGCGCGCACGCGGACAACTGATAAAAAGTTTCGCTTCGCCTGGTCCTCAAATATATTCCATACTTTCTCTCTCTTGCTCTCGCCCGTGTATTCGTACATAAACAACACATAAAGACTCCAAAACCGATACCAGTGTGAAACAGTGAAGCAAACACCGAACCGTTGTGTGTTCGATGTCTAAAGCGTACGGATTGTTGGTTCACTGTGATGCTGCTGCTGCTTCCCGAGAGACTGAACAGCAAAAATTGGAGGTGGTTGAAAGTCAGTCATCATTGGTAGTGTGCGTGTCTCTTTTCAAACTAAAAAGACAGAATTTCTTTTTTCTCGAATTAAATTCGTTTTTTTCTCATACACTTCTGTCTCTAGTTTCTTTATAAATAGTTTATACGTTACTTTTTTTTCGTTGCTTGAAATTCGTTATAACTAAAAAAAATCAGACAAGTTCTAAAATAAAAGAGATAAACAAAATTCAACCGAATACCAACAAGAATTTGTTGCGCGAATAAACCAGAACAGAAAAAAAGATCGGAAAATAAACGAAAGTTCTTCGCTTATCAGTAGAAAAATACTCTCTGTAAATCACAGGCAGAGAGTGAACGAGAGAGCGGGAGCAAGTTTCGAATCAGACGAAAGCGATTTAAGCAAGTCATACGTATTAAAACAAAACGGTAACATTCAGCATATAATCCAATCGAGTGTACATAAAATAGATGAAAAAGTTTCGGTATTAAAACGCAACAGACAGAAGAGCAACAGCAGAAAAGAAAAACAAAAACGATACGAACCAAAATTAAATTGACGTGAGTGAAATTCGATAGTGATTCTTTGTTGAAATTCTGTTTTTTGTTAATTTGTTGAAACATTTAATTAAAAATTGGGAAAATACGCGGATTTTTGAGTATACGAAATGGGATTTTTTTTTTAATGAGATTCGATCACGTGAAATTTTGTGTTTTAAAAAATGATTTCTCATTATTAAAAAAAAAACGAACTAAAATCAAATTAAAACAAAGTATCCAAATTGAAATTGAATAATGGAATTGGACTGAAAGCGACAAAAATTGTTTTTCGAGTGAATGCTGAAAGAGCTGCGTGATAAACGTTTGGCATTTCCAAAACCCATCAGGCAAATAGAATAGAAAAATAAAATCAGTATAAAGGACGTGGTAAAAGGGGAAAAAACGAAACGGACCACTTTTTTTTTCTTATTCCAAACATCCTACATAAAGCCAACACGTATCCATATTTTTCGACATTTCCAGACTACGAAATGGTTTTTTAAATGGAAAAAAAAAATATTTGAGCCGACCACGATTACGACGAACGAAACGAAAAACCGATGAGCGCACAGAGAAAGCAGAGCTTTTCTCTCGAAACCTTCGGAAAAAACTTGAAAAATCCGTCGTTTGTAAATCACTTATCACATTATAGGGCCAAAATGAACGAATTATATCGGTGTAGTATGGTTTGCGCGTGCTAGATAATAGTCTGGCTGCTTTGGGGTCAAAAATAAAACATACACACGCACATAGAACGGTGGAAAGTGATTTTCTGAACGAAGATTCTCTCACACAGAGCATTTTCGGGATCTGGTAAAAAAAAAATTAGCTACTTTTCCATTTCCATACAGTTTCACTCTATCTCTTTCATTTATTTATAAATTTATTGCCTCTGTTCATGCAGAGAGGTTGGTTGGTTGGTTGAATGATTTCTCTCTTTTTTTCTGTGTTAGCCAAATGTGTTTATTTACTTGAAATCGATTCTTGATACAAAACCGTACCCAACTGATGCGAAACCGTACTCGATGGTCCATTCAAATGCGCGTTTGTTTCAGATTGTGGCTGTGCCGTGCGTGTGACTCTGCCTACTGTGTACCGTGTGTATGTGTGTGTGCGTATTGTTTTTTCTCTATTCATTTTCTCTCTCTTTTTTTGCCATATTTCTCTGTCTGGTGATGGTTCGACTCGGTGGCTCATTTGATTTTCGCATTTGTAAATTGAATGTGCTGTGTGTTGGTTTTGATTAAAAAAATTCTTTTCAACGCAATTTTGGGCCAGAAAGGCGCGCACATATGCATATAACACGTTCTCTCTCTGTGTGTTTTTTTTTTGTTCTTCCATGAAGGGTTCCCAATTCTCGTACTCTTTCTGTATGTGTCTGTGAGTGTGACAAACAAGCTTTTTATGCCTGGCATCGTTCGATACTAATCAAATTAACTACAACAACACACCATTGACAACGGGTACATACACACTCATTCGGGTTGTTTCTTCGCGCTCGTGCTGTCTTTTTCGTATTCCATTGGATGTCAGTCAACGCATACACAAACTCCATCAACAACAGCAACAGCAACAAAATGAAAGCATTGCTCTCAATTTCGTCGTCCAACTAGTGTTTGACATAGAAACCGTGAGAGAAATAACTCACACAGCATTGAAAAATAGAAGAAAAAAAAAACACTCACATCACACCATTCAAAAAATGATAAGGCTTCACTGAATCAGTCATGTCCTGATTTGGTTTTGACCAATTGCGCTTTCACTCAATAAAAGTGAAGAATCTGGTTTATGTGTTGATGGGACACACACACACACACACACAAACAAACACATTTATGGATTTTATTTGAAAAGCATCTTGACCGAGAATATCATTCACAAACACGAAATTTTGAAGCAACGCCGAACATTGGTAAACTCGTAGAAAGAGAAGGACAGAGCAAGCGTAAAACCAAAGCGAGAATAACTGTATTATTTCTTCAAAAGTGCCAACAGTAAAAAAGGCAACAACAACAAGATCGAGAGCGAGAATAATCGCGCAACCAGAAGGAGGCGAAAAAGGAAAAAAAATATTGCAAAAGGAATAGAGAAGAAAATACTTTTAGCTGACAATCCAAATAAATGGAAAGTAGCGACAGTTTCGTTACTGTTACTTTTGCTGCTGGTGCTGTTGTTGCCGCCGCAATGAAGAGAAATCTACTTACGTTTAATATCATTTCGTCTTTTATGGCATTGTTGCTGGCTGTTGTTTAGTGGCGGGTGATTATGTTTTTGCTGCTTGAATCTATTCCTCATTACGGTTTCGGTTGCTCGTGTAATGCACACACAAATTACCCAACCGAAAACGAAAAACAGAGAGTCAGAATAGCGTATGCAAAAAAAAACTACAACATACGTACACAACACAACATACTGTGGAACGGAAAACGAAAGAATGGGGAAAAATTAGAAGGAAACGAAAGAAAGAGCGAGAGAAAAAAACAACAACGACATGTTTTGCTACATGTTTTCTACATTCCATTTTCAGTGTTGTTACTTGAAGACTTCTTCATGTTGTTGCCGTTGATGTTGTTGTTGGTTCGTTCTGTGTGTTTTTTTCTTCTTAACTCCAAGATGTAATAACGATATTTGCTGCTGGCTCTACTACATCCCATTTTCCTTTTTATTTTTCTGGATGATAACTTTTCTTTGAATATACAATTCATTATTTTCGAAGGTTTTTGTTGCTTTCGCCTTCCATTCTCTAAATGTATTTGCGTGTGTGTGTGTGTGAGATAAGGCCTCGATTTCGTCTCAACGGCAGAACCAGAAAAAAAAGAATGAAAAAGAAGTAGAAAAAAAGAAAAAGAAACCGAGAAAAAGAGAGTTTCAGGCGTTCGTTTTCACGTTTTCCCTTCATAATGCGTGCTAGAATGTGGATGTGTATGTGTGAGCAGCAGCTCTATGTGTAATGCTTTGTATATGATTTGTTGTTAGGCTTATCCTAACCCAAGAAAATCAACGGAACTGAAACGAAAACCTCACACAAATGCTCTCGCATTCTCATATTCTCACATCGCTCTTTCTCTAACACTGTGTGTGTCGTGTGCTTTGATGGCGAGAACGGGCGCGACATTGCGATATTGTAACAAAATCTTTCTTTTGACTGTGCTTTCTCGATTTGCTTTTTGCTTTTTTCTCTTTTCGGTTTATTCTACTTCTTTATTTTCTTCTTCGTCGTCGTTGTCGTCGTCCTCTTGTTTCTCTCCTTGCTGTTCGCCACATTCGGATTATATCCCCATAAAGTCAATACGCACATCTTTCTGCCCTGGCTAGAATATTATTATTCTGTTGCTTGTGCGATTGCGATACCGTCGTTGTACGAATGTTTGAGATGCTAGAGTAAGAGCGAGTTGGTTCGATGGTTAGAGTTATTGTCGCCGTCTGCCTCGTCATCATCGTGGTGGCTGCTGCCATTGTGCACGCACAGACACATTACATACATGTATATATGTATATAAATTTTCTGTTGCTTTGGCACGGTTTCGCTCCCGTTTCGTGCCACAGAAGTGAGACGAAGCGAGTGAGAGAGAGTGAGAGAGTTGAGGATTGAATCCGCGCTCATACGAAATCACAACTAACAGCAAAAATGAAGGGCATACACACATATCACACGCAAAACTCTCTCGACACGAGACACATTTTCAATGAAAAACTCTCCACGATCGAATTTCGTACACCAAACAACCGAAGATGTGCATACATACAGACAAACACACGCAGAGAGATAGAAAATATATTTTATGTTTAATGAACTTCGCTTGAGGTATAATCAAAATTAATACACATCGTATACACATTTCTGGCTCCGGCAGAACATGTAATTTGTTTGTGGCATCGAAACGAAAACGAAAACGGAGACGAACGAGCCGAATATCATACATATATACTACGTGCACATACATATAGCCAACCAGTCAGTGCCACCACCATCATATTGACGTTAACGTTGATGTGAACGAACATCTCTCGAGTAAGCAACGAGAGAGAAAAAAAAGAAGAAAAAAACAACAAGCACACAACATTTGAAGCGGAGAGCAAAACGAGAGACACAGCAAAAGCGAGCGAATTGGTATTTTGAACCGTGCCCTGAAATCATCTCATCGTGTATTTCGCTGTTGTCGAACGAAAAAAGTAAAATGGTGATTGCGTTCGAATTTACGAAAATGAGGGAAAACAAAGCATACAAAAGCACACACTCAAACTCAATGGAGAGAAGAAGACGAAAGAAATAAAACACATCGAAACGGAAAAAGGGAAATCACCAACAACAACAAAAAAGTTGAAACATATTCTCGGACTCTTCTCTCTCTCTCTTTTTCACTTGAAAAACAACTGCTCAAGCGGAAAAAAATGCTCGACATGACGAAAGAAAAAAATTGTATATATATTCGTCAATGGTGGAATCTAAGCTTTTTGAAACCTGTCAAGACGACGACGAATAAGAAGAAGGACACAAGAAGTTTTACTTTGTTCCTAATCTCAAACTTTTGCCAAAGTTAAACGAACACTCGCTCGCTCGCTTGCTAAATCTCAAAGGGGCAAACGCGCAATGCGCAACTAGAAATATAGCAACAATTTCCCGTTGATTGGAAATAGTTCATGGTGAGAGTCTTTGGCTCTATTCTACTCGCTCTTATCATTTAATTAGCCACATTTTGCATTCAATGGCCACGAATTACGTTTCGGCATCTACCTGTGAGCACATGCTCGTTCACAATTTCACAACCAGTTCTCGTTCACCGTATCGCATTGGTTCCATTTGCAAATGGACAAAAGTTCGGTGAACAGTCAAAATCGCGATTTGCATTTTAATAGTGCCCTATTTTGCATAAAACGTAACGCTTTTCCAGGGCTAGTCAATGTAGCGACAAATATTATCTGATGTGCTGCGCTTGGCCATATCCCAATCCAGTGCTGGGAGAAAGATGGAGAACAACAAGAGCGAAACGAGACACAAACACCGATTCAACCAACGGTGA